TTTATCAGGGGATCAATGCCTCAAAGCCGACATTTTCAAATTCCTTCGGTCGAAAAGCTCCGTTTCGTGACGGACTGGTAAGTACATCACCTAGTAAAAATTAAATTTACCCCCGGTTTTCGAAATTGTCTAGATCTGTTGCTGCGGCTATCGCTCTTGGCTTGCCTAAGGAACTGGCGACCATGGCTTATTGTTTCCCCGAGCATGGCATGGTGATCACTTAGCCCTGGCCAAACGGGATCGCAAGTAACCACAAGTTGAACTTGCATAGAGACTTGTAGCCTGCAGAATAGGCGTAATTCTTTTGCGTGTTTTAGGAAGCGGAGGCGAGCGCGAGGCGAGCGCGAGGGGAAGAGCGCGAAAAAACATCCATAGTCGGGGACCCGATTATGGCTCCTGACATAACGCGTTATTTGTTTTACGCTGTTCCCCTCGCGCGCAACTCGCGCTTCGCACTCGTCTCGCTTTCGCCTCTTTTCATCTAATAAAATACGCAAAAAAATTACACGCGTTCAACCCTGGTCAAACGGACTCCCAAGTAGACGTAAGTTGAAAACTTGGGTCTACTTACGAGCCTGCGTGTGGCCAATCTTTGCGTGCACTTGCGTTGAATTGCGTGACTTGGGCTCACTTTGGTCGCGATCAAATTTGCACGCAGGTCGAAGCAAGTTTTTCACCGTTTGGCCACTCAACCCAGGCCAACGCAAGTTGAAAGACGTCCATTAACCTATTACTAGCCAATGAAACACAAGATATTTCTGACTTGAAATGGGTTTTTAAGCCCTGGCCAGACGTACTCGCAAGTAATGACAAGTAGCCGCAAGTTGAACTTGCGTAGAGTCTGTTTACGTTGAACTTTGCGTAGAGCTCTCGTTTGGCCAGGGCTTAATGGGCGTTACTCAACTTGCGTTGTCTTGGGTTGGGTGTCCAAACGGTGAAAAACTTGCGTCAGTGACTTGCGTGCAAATTTGATCTCGACCAAAGTGAGCGCAAGTCATCGCA